GGGGGGGGGGGGAGGGTCAGGGGGGGGGGGGGCGGCGCGGGCCCGGGCACCGTTCACGGGGGCGGGGGCAGGGGGGGCCCCGCGCCGCACCGCGGGGGGATGCGGGGCGCGGGCATCGCCGGGGGGTGGGATGGGGGGGGGGACACACGCGCGCACAGGGGGGGTCGGCACCGCACCGGCGCGGGGGAAGGGGGGGGCGGCTGCAGCGCGTGCGGGGGTTCCCGGTGCGGCGGGGGGTGCGGAGCCCCGGGAGCGGAGGGGTGGGGAGGGAGGGGGTCGTACCGGGGGGACGGGGGGGGGGATGCGGTGCGGTGCGGCGGGCGGGGGCGGGGGGCGATGCGGCGCGGGGGGGCGGCGCAGTGCGGGGAGGGGGATGATTTGGGAGGATGGGGGGTGGTGTGAGATGGGGGACGAGGTGAATTCGGGGGGTCCCGGGGGCGGGCGGCTGCACACGGATCTGGAGGGGGGGCTGGCTGCGGTGCGGGGAGGGGGGCGATGAGGGTCCCTCCGGCGAGACTGCGGTGATGGGGGGATCGTGCGGGGGCTGGAAGTGCAGAGGGGGGGTCGGGGACGGGGGGGCTCTGCTCCCCCCGAGTAGGGCGCGATCTCTGCCTCAGTTTCCCCCTGTGCAGCACCCTGGGCTGTCCCCTTGCAGGGTGGACCCCTCCTGCTTACAACCCCCCCATATCGAGCTGCACACAGGGACACCCCCACGGAGTGCTGACCCACTCCTCAGCCCCTTACTTGGGGTCCCCCAAGCCCTGCATTCCCCCGGGACGTGGGGCTCCCCCATCCCCGCAGCCCCCCCTGGAGCACGGGGGATCCCTACAGCCCCCTCCCTGCAGATTTCAGGGCCACCCCCAGCCTGCCCCGTGCCCCCGCAGGATCCGGCCTCGGAGCCAGCGCCGCCGTCACCATGGGCAACATCTTCGGGAACCTGCTGAAGAGCCTGATCGGGAAGAAGGAGATGCGGATCCTGATGGTGGGGCTGGACGCCGCCGGGAAGACCACCATCCTCTACAAGCTCAAACTGGGGGAGATCGTCACCACCATCCCCACCATCGGTGGGTGGGGTTGTGGGGGCACCGAGCGCGGACCCCTCCCCATCAGGGCTCTCCTCTGAGGGGGGCTCGTGGCTCCCCGTGCCTCAGTTTCCCTCTGCTGTCGCTCCCCGCAGGGTTCAACGTGGAGACGGTGGAGTACAAGAACATCAGCTTCACCGTGTGGGACGTGGGTGGGCAGGACAAGATCCGGCCCCTCTGGAGGCATTACTTCCAAAACACCCAGGGTACGTGTCCTGGGGGGGACATGGGGTGGGGGACACGGGGTGAGGGTGGCCGAGGGGACCCCGCCAGCACCAGGGACCCCACCAGTGCCCGCTCCTGTCCCCCAGGGCTCATCTTCGTGGTGGACAGCAACGACCGGGAGCGGGTGAACGAGGCGCGGGAGGAGCTGATGCGGATGCTGGCGGAGGATGAGCTGCGGGACGCCGTCCTGCTCGTCTTCGCCAACAAGCAGGTGGGTCTGGGGGCGGGCAGGGCCCCCGTGGCGGGGCTGAGACTGTCCCCAGGGCATCAGGGCTGTGCCAGGAGTGTGCCCACCCCCGGGGTGTCAGGGCTGGTATCTGGCCCCCGCTGTGGCAGGACTGTGCCCATGCCCGTGGTACCAAGGCTGGGGTCAAAGAGACCCCACGGCAGGACCGTGTCCATCCCTGTGGCATCAGGGCTGGTGCCAGCCCCCAGGGCAGGGCCGTGCCCATCCCCGTGGTGTCATGGCCAGCACGTGATGCCCTTCCCTGTGCCCCCCCCAGGACCTGCCCAACGCCATGAACGCGGCGGAGATCACGGACAAGCTGGGGCTGCACTCCCTGCGCCACCGTAACTGGTACATCCAGGCCACCTGTGCCACCAGCGGGGACGGGCTCTACGAGGGCCTCGACTGGCTCGCCAACCAGCTCAAGAACAAAAAGTGAGGGGGGGCCACCCCGTGCCCCCCCGGCCCCCTCCCCCAGGGCCATGCCAGGGCCCCCCCGGCCGCCCCCTCCCCACCCCGGCTGGGTTTTGCTTTCTTCTGGCACCGGTTGCTGTGGGGTTTTTCGCCTTTTTTGGGGTCCCCCTGGTTCCCCTCGGATCTCGTGTGTGCGTGCGTGGAATTAGAGCTCTATATAACGCCCGGGGGGGCGGGGGCAGAGCCCCAGGAGAGGAGGGGGGGCTGGGGGCTGGGGGAGTCCCCTTGGCACTGCCCTGACCGGGGGGGGGCCAGGGACACCCCGTCCCCATGCATGTCCCTGCACCCCTCGCCTTCCTCTGGACCAAATGTGGGGGCAGCGGGGCCGTGGGGGGGATTTGGGACCATACACCCCCCTCCTCCCTCCCAGCACCCCCTCCTGG